ATAATTAAACATCATAATGACAGCCTTTTAAAGGCATGAATATTGTCTTACATGTTTGTCACGTCGCTATATATATTTATTTAAATGTTTTTAAATGCACATCAGCAAAAATGTTAATATTTCACAAATGCACAAACAATATCTGAAAGAAATCAGCTTATGCATTAATTTTAGTGTGCACAAATGTGACTGTTATGACAATTCTGTTGTTTTGCAATTAATGAATAAAGAGCTTTTACATGGAACTCGATAACAAAAACAACTAAAATATGCAATGTTTAGGTGCTCAGCTGTGATGCAACACATTTCTAATCATAATAATTTTAATAACTCATCACTAATAACTGATTTCTTTTCTCTTCTCCATGATGACAGCACATAATACTAGACTAGATATTCTTCAAGACACTAGTGTTCAGCTTACAGTGACATGTAAAGGCTTCACTAGGGTAATTAGGGTAAAGTTAGGGTAATTAGGCAAGTCATTGTATAACAGTGGTTTGTTCTGGAGACAATCCAACACTAATATTGCTGAAGGGGCCAATAATATTGAGCTTTAAATGGCTTTAAAACTATTAAAAACTGCTTTTATTCTAGCCCAAATAAAACAAATAAGACTTTCTCCAGAAGAACAGATATTAGAGGAAACACTGTGAACAACTGCTGAATCTGAGAAACAGCATCGGGGAAATATTTGAGAAATAAAATCACAAGAGGCTGAATAATTTTACCCTCAACTGTCTATATATATATATATATTCCCGCAGCCATGGCCTGCATTAGTCTACAGCAGAGAGGGATAATAGAGCATCTGCAAGATCTTACAGTAGATTTACTCACTTCTTCCTTGCATCAGCTGTTTACATGGAGCTCTTCAGTTACATCACAAAACCTTCATCTCCGACTTTACCACGAACTCCACATCATCCAATCACAGACAAGAAGTACTTGTTGACCCAAAATGAGCACTGTGATTGGCTGCAGCCGAATCGTCCCTCCTCTGCGTCCCGAGAGAAGAGCTTTTTGTCAAATCGCCCCGAGAGAGACGCTAAACTGAGGGCGGTGATGGTCAGGACACGGACCGCAGCACAACACACACCAAACCGTAGGTGAGATGTACACGGTTCTCCATTACAAACAGTTTCCTTCTGAAAGCTCGTCATTATTTCTGTAGCTCTTTTTACAGTGTAGAATCAGACCACAAGATCAGCATCTGCTCTGGATACGGGCCGGATCAAAGATTATGTGAACCTCGGGAGAAGGAGAACAACGCTATAAACATATCGTTCACGATACAGTGCGTTTCCGAGATGTCTAACTCTGCTTTAGTGCATTTTTAAATGATGTGTTTGTGTTTTATGAGTGTGCTAAGTCTTAACTCTTGTGTTGGATAATTCTGTGTACACTGTTACATCCCTCAGGTCAAACTGACCCGCCTTCGCTAATCCTCTAAAATAAAGCAAATCGATTAATTTCAATCCTCAAATCTACTCTGCATGAAGAAGCAAGCTCATCTTCATCACACACACACACACACACACACACACACACACACACACTCTGTGAAAGTGCAGGTTGTCCCTCATCAGTGTGCAGTATTTCAGCAGGACAACACTCGACTCTCACTACAGCAAAGGGGGATTTTATCAGGATAAAAGCACCTGCAGACGTGGAGAAAGTGTGGAGCAAGACAGTATTAATAACAGTTAAAGCAGCAGATTATTGTGTGTGTGTGTGTGTGTGTGTGTGTGTGTAGTCTCTGAGATGTAAAACGGTTTAATATCAGGCAGCTCAAAATCGACTCAAAGGACACCCTGTTGTACCCTGAACAAGCTCAGCCTTCATGAAAACAGAAAATGATTGCTTTTTTCTAGGCTTGAGGTCATTCTAGAAAAGTCAGCACACTAAGATAAACATTGCATAAACTGGGTCATTTTTGTCTTGTAAACCAGAAGGGTTAAACTGACTAGTGTGTCTGCTTCCTAAACTGTGCTGTAAACGCTGCTCCAGGGTTGCCAGATACGCCAGGATCTATCAATAACTTCAACAGAGACTGATGTTCTGAGAATAGTTAGATGGTTTGGGTTTGTACCTCTACAATGACACTGTTTTATAATCAATTCACTCAATCTGTTTTATCTTTCTGCATTGTGGCTTGGTCCAGTAGAGTCTGTCAAATGAGAACAGGTTGAGTAGCCTGGTGAAGGTGGCAGACAAGATCATGGGTTTTAATTAAACTGGCCAAGTGGTAATTTACTGTAATTATGTTTTAAAGAGAGCTCAGGGTGTCTTATTCCCCCCGGATCCCCCATTGTACTCAGTGTCGGCCATCAGGACATCATTTAGAGTTCTATTAGGCATGGGCCGGTGAGATGCTGACGGTGTGATACCCCTGGATAAAAGCATCTCGGTTTCTCTGTATTGTGTTTACTGCTCTAAAATAGACTATTTTTAAACCTCTGGGTAAAAACTCTTTGAAAACAATATACTTTTTTATTTTGAAAAACGTGTATAATAGTTTGGAGCAGTAAACATGTGAGGCTAAATAACGAAAATGAATCACCGACTTCTGCTGTCTGGGTTTGTTTGTAAAACACAGGCTTCTTTACTATACTGGAGATCTTTTCTGCTGGAGATACTGCAAAAAGCTGCAAAAATTCTGCAAAGCAGAACATTTTGTCAGTTTTAAAACCTTCACTTTACCAAACCGCGGTATACCTTGAACACGGTTATCGTCACATGCCTAGTTCCCTTATACAGGACAAACAGATTAATGAATTATTTATAATGGCAGTCAGAGTCCAGCGGGGAGGGAGAAGCACCTAATGAATGATGTACTGTATATTTTGTGGTAATGGTTTGGTCTACATGGCTCCTCTTCTGTGTGACGGCTCCTTGCTGCAATTTTAGTTTCCCCAAACGGCATGATAAAGTCTGAGGATCATGATGAGATTACTGAACTCATGCACTCTTCCATCCACAGCTCATTTCAGGATCATGTCGAACGTCTCCGATGTGAACTCCAGCATCCCCGAAGTGGCGCAGCGCCTGCTGTGGTACCAGTTTGAGGCGTGTGCGGAGGCTCCTCACTGGTTTCTGCTGTACTACGGTGTGAAAGTGTTGAATCTGGTGGCCGGAGTTCCCCTGAACGCTCTGGTGATGTGGCAGATCCTGAGGAAGAAGAGCGAGGGGTCCACATCTGACATCTTCATCTTCAACCTCTCCGTCCTGGATGCTTATTTCGGGCTGATGACGCCGGTGGATCTGGCCAATCGGCTCTACTTTAATGATGATCATATCTGGTACTCGGTGAGGTTTGCGTACGGTCTGAAGGACACGACTCCGCTGTTCCTCACCTGTATTTGTCTGGACAGGTATGTAGCTGTGGTCCATCCCATCCTGTTCACAGGCACGCGGGACACGGGCATCCGCATCGGCGTCTCCATGGTGGTGTGGGGACTCATCCTGGCCTACTCTCTCACCAAATGCATTCTGGGAGTGATGAGTGTGAACGAGGTGTTCAGCGGCCTCATCCTCTCCGCCTTCTCCATCATGGTGTTCTGCAACCTGTCCATCATCTGGGTCCTCAGGAAAAGCGTGGCCGGGAAGGAGGTCATGAATCCGGTCAAGAGGAAGGCCTTTAAGATGGTGATGACGGTGCTGGCCATCATCATAGGCAACTATCTGCCGCCGGTGGCTCTAATGCCGTTTGCGTCCACATATTCGTTCATCACGTTTCGCTGTAAGATCAGTCTGGCCGTGTTCTCCATCATGGACCTGAGCTGCACTGTTGAGCCTCTGCTCTACATCTCCAAGATGGATCAATCCGCCTTCTGCTCCTGCTTAAAGAGTCCCTCAAAGAAACCCATCAATGTGAGCGTCTGAGATGGATTCTGCATCTTTTGAGACTCGACTGATGAGGTATGAGCAGGCCTCAGGTCAGTTTAGGCTGCGTCTGCACTAATCCAGATACTTCTGAAAATTGTGTTTGGTCTAAACAAGCTCCATGTCCACATCACTGTCTTCACTTCTCTCCATCATCCACACTAGAAGGCTATCAGTGCTCTGGTCGAGGTTCTGCGCAGCACACACACGTCAGACTCGCTCATCTCCGCTGCTCTTTATTTACTCTCCATGTCTCTGAGCAGTAAATGTGTGACTGGTCTGATCTGAACAACAGCTCCAGTAAATATTCCACGTTTTTATAACTGTGCAGAGCTGTAGCTGCTTTACTGGGCCTACTACGCTATACTGTATTTCAATACTGCTCATTTTGCTGGTACTTGGAGACACTATTTTTTTCTGAGGTGGTGCTTGATGAAAAAAGTTTGAGAACCACTGCTCTAAAAGATACGCTTTCCTTTAATAAACATGGACGGAAGGACAAAACTGAGAGAAAAATATGTGTTTTAAAACATATGTGACAATATGTGGCACTGAGAGACCATGCACGCACACACACACGCGCACACACACACACACCACACAAATAAAATAACATAACAGACCATATATAATCATTAAAATAGATAAATACTAGTGCAGTCAAATGGTTGACGGCAATTAATTACATCCAAGATAAAGGTTTGAATATTTTACACACATATTTATATATAATTTGTAATATACACACACACACACAAATATGTATATATATATAAATATATATATATATTCGCACAAATGTTTGATGCATATATTCATATAATATATTTGATGTGATTAATCAGAGTAAATACCAAATATTAAAATAAGTCCATTAAACTCATTATATTAGTTATGTGATAAAATCTAATCCAACAGACGTTCACACAACGATGAGAATTGATTTTATTATTTCACAAACTTAAATTTCCAGATGCATAATTAAGAAGATGCGGAATCACTAATGAAGGTGTTAATTAAATTGGCTGGGGATTAATTAAGAACAGCCGGGGGTGACACAGATGCTGCGAGCTCGTGATTGTGTAAGTAGACGATGCTACGAGATTAATTAACGTTAAAAACATTTACAGTAGATGCTCACCTGTGAGATGTTTATGTCATACGAGCTGAAGTGTGACGCATACAGAATATCTATAAATGATATACATGTGTGTGTGTGTGTGTTCGCTTACGCTTCTGTACTGCACACACACACACTCACACACACACACACACACCTGAAATATTCACAAAACTCTAAATGAATGTAAATGAAGTGAAATATGTAAATTAATGTTGATCTCGTCATGAAAAAATAAAGTTTTCCCCAGAACAGTGAAACTCTTTCTCAGTTGTTGGTGTGGTTTTGTATTTTCAGACACTCTTTAAACACTCTAAATATCCCTGTTAATGTTTTCAAACTATTTTATTTGATTTTCCGAAGACACAGAAGTGTTCATTTCTCATTGGTCACATTCAACACGAAGCCTTTTCCTCATAAATGCACAATAATTACATCAAAAACATTTGTCAGATTAGTATTATTACATGTGTACACTATGTATAAGCAATAAAAAATACACAGCGCGTGTGTGTCCACCGAAGCGTTTTTGCGCTGTTTCCTGGGAGGTTTTTAAATGTCGGCTGTGTCATTAGGCAATGATCGAGCGTTTTCCACTGACCGATGAGTAGGGTTGGGTATCATTATTGGTTATTGTTATCGATGTTATTTTGATACTGATGATAAATCGGTACCTTTAAAACAGTAGCGGTGCCAAAGTGGAGCCTGAACGGTGCTTTTGAGCCACGAAATTATGGTGGACGACTCTAGAAAATGTTTTTATTTGACAAAAATTTATTTTTTAATTGAACAATTTAATTAAAGTTTTTTTTTACGTAAACATCAATTAAAGTTGTAAATATTTGAGTTGAATTAAATTAATATGAATTATTTTGATCAATGCATCGTGATGCACCAAGATCTGGAATTGAACCGAATCGATGGCATGATAATCGTAACCAAACTGAGCCGTGAGACCAGTATAGGTTCACAGCTCTAGCCGACGGTGTCCGTATCCCTCAAGGTTGTTTAGAATGAAATGTTTCGAGATGGAGAGACACAACATGTACTCGTGAGCCTTTGATGCTCGTCACAGCACCAGTGGCACTGAAATTAGGCACCAAAATTCATATGCTGATTTGGTCTGGTACATGCCGGTTACTCAGGCACCATAATAGCACTGGGTTTTGGTACCCAACCCTACCAATGAGCGCTCGCCGTTTCTCAAATGCTTTGACACAGAGAAGCGCTCGCAGCTGGGCGACTTTATGAGCAGCGCTAAAAACACTTAGATGGAAAAGCACTCTTGAGCAACCTTAAAGTAAAGTAACCTTCAGGCTTAATACCTGACAATACCCAGCCTGATCTCACGAGAAAACGTAAGTATTTTACGTTTTGGCAGTTTAGTGGCTAATTCGTACGAACAAATTTAGTTCAGTCATACGAAATTGTACGATTTTAAAAAGGAGGCGTGGCACCTAACCCCACCCCTAATCCCAACCGCCATTGGGGGATGAGCAAATCGTACTAAAATGTACGAATTAGGTTGTATGAATTCGTACGAATTAGCCACTACATCAAAAAGTTACGAATTGCTGTGAGATTGTGTTGCAATACTGTATAGCAGGGGTCACCAAACCTGTTCCTGCAGATTTTAGCTCCAACCTTAATCAAACACACCTGAACAAGCTAATCAAGCTCTTACTAGGTATACTTGAAACATCCAGGCAGGTGTGTTGAGGCCAGTTGGAGATAAACTCTGCAGGGACCTCCAGGAACGAGATTGATGACCCCTGCCGTATTGCAACAACATCTGACACCATCGTAACCCTAGTCGTTGCAGTCCACAGATGCTGTGTGTGTGATTCTGTCATGGATCTCATTCAGGCTCCCCCTGCTGGCCGCCGGTCCACTAAGCGACGTCACGAAACCCGGATATTTCTGGAAAAGCTCTGGAGGTGAAGAGCAGAGGCTCATCTGCGCTCCGTCATCCGCACACACCAGCGGAATCAGCTTAGCGTGAGCGTAATCGATCTCAAAGCCCTCAAAGATAAGCCCCACCCCCCATGCTCCAAGCCCCGCCTCCAGCAGGCAGGACACCTCTCTGGTTGCCAGCACCATCTGCTTATACTCCTCCACCTGCAGGCTGAGCACATCGCTGCTGAGCGGACGACGGGGAACTAAAACGGTGAGGCCTGGAGAGTTGGGAAACGGCGTGAGGAACGCTACGTGCTCATCATCCTCCCACACTCTCCACTGCTGCGCTTCTCCGCGGATTATACGCGGGAACAGCCCGTCGTCAGACGGATCGCCTAGGAATGTGTAGTTCTGCTGGGCGCTCGGTTTACATATCCGGTTCTTCACCGCCTCCAAATCATCATCAGTCCAGCGCGGGCCGCTCTTAGAGCTGATGTACCCGGGGTCAAACTCATTAAACTCTTCCTCTGCAGCCAGGTGAGGTCTCCAGTCTGCGCTCAGGCCGTGCAGAGGGACGATCAGCAGCTGTGTGTTGCCATGTTTCTGCGGTGTGTGCACCAGAGCGCAGCGCTGCACCGACAGACCCGCACACAGCCGGCGGGACACTGATCTGGCCCCCAGCAGCAGACGCAGGAACAGGTCCTCAGGCAGGTGGAAGAGGCTGCCGGCGCAGGGGCTCCTACAGGTGAGCACAGCGACCCCTGGTGTCCATGGAGACGGGTGCAGGTACGCCAGCAGATCTGCAGACTCCCAGATCACCAGCGGCTCCTGGAGAGCCCACGACATCCTGCCAGAGGAGGAAAGAGTGGAGAAATCTGAAGGAGACACTTTACTGAGCAGTCTGATCATGCTGAGGATTCTCAAGGGGTTTTGTCTTGTTTACAGAGCAAAATATTGTCTACTTTTCAGAAATAATAAAGTCAAAACTGGCAATAGAGGAGAATCACTGAAGGAGAATGACTGAAGGAGAATCACTGAAGGAGAATCACTGAAGGAGAATCACTGAAGGAGAATCACTGAAGGAGAATCACTGAAGGAGATGGGTTATTGAGGATTCTTATGGTTTAGATGAGTTCAGGGCAGGAAAAACACGACAAAGCGATCAGAGAGAGATTAGAGAAACATAAAAAACTGTCTACATACATAAATAAAGAGCTATATAAATAATAAATATGACAATTAATGAGTATTTTGGGGATAAACTTTGATTCTTAAACGTTGTTTTATTTGTGCTGAATGACACAGAGCTGAGGGATGTTCTCTATAATACTGTATTGTCTGTAAACACATTCATGAACAAGTATTTACTCAATATTGTTATTAATATGTAATAATTGTGTGGTCATAAACTGAGAGTGAGCAGCAAAACAAGGCAGGAGTGAAGAAAGTTTAAAAAGGGAAAGTGTTTGACAGAAGCTTTAAACACACACATATTCAGATGAAGATGTCTCTCGGTGTTTCTGTACCTTCCTAGTAAAGCGTTCAGGATCAGAGAAACTGCAGATCCACTCAGAGCCCAGCGCCGCATTTCCTGCTTCAGCACTTCCTTTTTTTGCGGCTGCGTCACATGAGCTGAGCTAGATTCTGTGCTCTTTGACGTGAGCGCCGCCGTCTGCTGGAGGGAAGCGGAACTGCGCCGGAGTTAACAGATATACAGGCGAGTGAACGACAGAGAGAAATACAACAGAACAATCTTGTTTTTCGATTTGTGATAAGATTATTTGTTTTAAGAAAAAACTCATTTTTGGCAAATTATTTCTCAAACAAGACAATATGTTTTGCCTGTCTAGAAAATGCTTCTTAATTGAAGAACTTTTAGATATTTGAACTAGAAACAAAACAAAAAATCTGAATAAGAAAAGTATTTTTTGCAGTGTAGCATCTGAATGTCGAGGCCACATCTCTCTCTCAAACACAAGCAGACGTAGAGGATCAGTGAGATAACCAGAGTCTTTCTGTCTTCCTCACACACACACACTTAAGTTCAATAAACCAATTTAGACCAATTTAACATCCTCACATGTCAGTAGTCCTGACATTTTATTATATAAGTGCTGAAATTAAAGTCACAAGTACAGCTGAACCAGTACACACACACTGATAATCTCACTCAGTTAATCTCTTAATGAAGTATTGACCCACTGAAGACAGCAGGAGTGGAGCAGAACCAATTTCTGTCCTCTGAAACACACCAGACACCCTAAACCAGGGGTGTCCAAACTGGGTTCTGGAGGGCCGGTGTCCTGCAGATTTCTCTCAACACACCTGTACAGACGTTTCTAGAAAGTCCAGTAAGAGCTTGATCAGCTGGCCCAGGTGTGTCTGATGGGGTTGGGACTAACCTGCAGGACCAAGTTTGGACACCCCTGTGTCTATATGTATTTATACACACACACACACGAATGTGCGCAACTTAATAGCATTGATGTTTGTGAGATTACTACACTACACAACTGCAGGTTAACCATGTTCATATATAAAACTGTTAACAGCTATGTTAGTAGTTAATTAGTCAAGGTTATTAGTAACTAATCAAGTGATGGAGACTCATAACTAGGGCCAGACAGAGTCTGCACACATTTTTTGCCATTTCTGCAGAGAATTTTGAAAAAAAAAAAAAAATCTGATTTATGCAGTATTTTAGAAATATCATAAACTAATTATGTGAAATCAAAAATAACAGCTCCTTAACTTTTAAAATGCAAAGCCAATTAGACCTACTTCAGTAAACATAGCAAGTCTCTCATACATCTCTACTGAAAACAGAAAACATTACTGTACACACAGCACTGTGATTTAAAGCAAATACAGTTTCATATTAGTCTATATTACTGAATAAATATAAATTCACACAAATAAATACTTAAATTTGGCCTAAAAATCTACAGAAATCAGGATGTGCAGAATTCATGGGACGACTAATAACCTCCACTGTTCTGAATGTGATTGTGGTTCAGTAATGTGCTGCTTCGGAGTAATTAAGAGAAGCTCTGTACAAACACACTCAGATTGAACTGACAAGTGTGTAAGAGCATTAATCTGAAGCACATGAGGGTGATTGTACTTGAATTGTTTGGTGAACTGCCCCTTATATCAGCTGCTGCATTTCAGAACACAACTAGAGGAGCTTTAAACACACACACACACACACACACACACACACACACACGAGCGGAGTTTGACAGTATCTTTATTAGAAAATAAAGCCCCTCACACACACACACATCATGACAGATGGAGCATGTTTAAATAGCACACGTGAAGCTTATTTACAAGCACTACAGCATCAGATTCAGTGTAAGAACTGGAGGTGTTGAGGGCCCTCGCTGGACCAGACGAGAGATGCAGGATGAGGAGTTATGATGATGATGATGATGAGAGAATAACAGATCAATCTGGATGTGAAGGATGGATCTGGACCGACAGCGGCGCGAGTGATGGATCTGGATCTAGCGTTTGCTCTTGCGCTGTTTGGCGGTCCGCATCTCCTCCAGAAGGTCCCGCAGGTACTGGATCTCCCGGCTCAGGGAATCTGCTTTCTCTGAGAGCTCACGGTTCTTCTTCTCCAGCTCCGAGCACTCGCTGTTCAGCGACTCCTGCTCCACACGCTTCTTCTGCCGGTAGCGTGTCGCTGCGGTTTTATTCTGCTCCATCTTCTTCAGCTTCTTCTCTACTTTCGGAGCTCCGGAGCTGGTCTTCACTCGGCCTTTGAGCGCCGGGGATGCTTCAGGATCGGGTCTGGAGTATGGTTTAGCTCTGGATGAGGGTTCTAGATCTGATTGATGAGCTGGAGATCCTGAGACTGAGATCCCGCTGTCGCTATCGGAGCAATCGCTAATGTTCTGCTCTTCTTTTGGAGTCAGCAGAACCACAATGTGAGACGGAGAGAGGCTCAGCATGATACCTGCAGGATGGAGAACTGGAACCTCAGTGTGCTCATCTTGAGGAGCTTCTTCAGGAGGAGACGGGACGCTCGGTGCTGGAGAGAGAGGCTCCGATTTGATCTCTTCAGGAAGCGGGAGGTCCAGGCCCAGAGGGAGATCCAGGTCTGCGGAACCGAACGGGAGAGAGTCCAGATCCAGATCCATGCTGGAGTCCAGACAGGCCAGCAGATCCTCTGGGGAACCGGGTGAATCCTCAGAGTCACACGACCCAATCAGAGAGTCCAGGTCGAAGTCATTCAGGTCTAATTTCTCTGTCATCCAATCCATCCCAGGAAACACATCGCCTGCTGGAGGACACACACACACACACACACACGCGCGCGCGCGCGCGCGCACACACACACACACACACAGAGAGAGAGAAGAGTTCATTCAAAGCTGACTTTGATCAGTGTACTAGTGAGTGAGTGTGTGTGTGTGTACAGTAAAGTGTGTGTGTGTGTGTGTGTGTGTGTGTGTGTGTGTGTATTGGTCACCTGTGCTCTGCTCTGTCAGCAGGACATCTGACGGCTGCCAGGAGAGCGACAGCAGCTCAGACGGAGCATCTCCAGAAGCAGGAGGAGAGAAAGAGGATAAAGAAGAGGAAGAGGGAGACCACGAGCCCTCCAACACGGAGCTCTCCTCATCCTGGTCCAGCAGGGGCCCTTGGGGGTCAGCCGTCAGAGGCCAGGGCCCCAGCAGCAGGGCTCCAGCGTCCCCAACACACAGAGACATGGTGGAGGAGAAGCTGCGGTATTTGCGGAGAGATGGAGATGCTGTCGATGGCAGCAGAGCGCTGGGGGTTTGCTAGGAGAGACCTGCAGGACAACACAAGCAGCCTTCATCAGGTTTAATCACTGGAGATCCAGTCATTTAGCAAAGGGGTGACGACAAACAGGGTGTTTTACAATATATATCTGATTCTTCAAGACAAAACTGACTGATTATGGAGTTGTGTGTGTGCAAAGTGCATCAGACATGCTGATATTAAAAATTCAATACATGATAATGAATCTGCACAATATCACTGGTACTTCAAAACACAGTAAATAATAATGCATCACATTTACTTCAAGAGTGCTTTATGGATATGCAGTGTTGTATTGGCAGTCGCTTGACCAAAATTACAAAATTCGCTTTAATCTGGGCTACAAAGTCACACTTGGTCTACTTTAGGCCTTTTGTTTGTTAAATCTGTACAGTAAAGATCAATTAGTTATTGTAAATAGTCAATGTAATGACAATTATAAAAGCATTTATCAATCTTGGGTCATATTTTGTTTGTTTATGCCTAAAATCACATTAAAATCAATTCAATCATTGTATTAAATGGAGTTACTGACTACATTTCAGCATTTTATATTAACTAACATAACTAATCGAGCTTTTTTTCACTGTTGATTTTAATGCATGTGTTTACTAATGAGACTTTAGTGTTAACTATTGCACTTTATTATCCTTATGCAGATTCATTTGTTTACTCTGAACATGTGTATACAATAATGCACTTCAAGTGTTTCGTGCACGCTTTATGAACCCATTTTATAAAGAGGAACTGATTCCCAACCCTGGCCAGAGGGAAGATTTACCAACAAAAAACACTATTATTATTTCACACTGTAATAAAATGACCCATAATGAATAACCAGTTGAGTTATTAACATTCCAAACCAGTTTAACCAGTTTCTAGAGCACCTCCAGGCACTCTGGACCAGACCAGTTTAAACAGGTGTCATCTGGGAGGAACTGAAGCTGTGAACGCGCATTTACTTTCCCATCAGGGCTATTTACTAACGCTAAACCTGCTTCTGCTATAATTAGCTCCCTGTAGGCTGGAGTTTCCCCGCCCTTACAGAATACATGTCCTAATATGGTCATCATTGAAGGACGCCCCACCCCCCGGTTCCTGTGCGAGATGAAGGTGTCCCTGAGCGGTAAAGTCTAGAATGGATACAGCTGCGGATACTGACGTCAATAAGGAATTATTTTTATGACATTACAATAACTAATATTTGTACATTATTGTGAGGGTTGGGTTTAGGGTATATGTTGTATAAAATGATATTTCATTTGGGATATTCAATAAATAATATGAATACTCGGTATAATTACTGCTTCACACGAGTGTGAGGGCTGGGTTTAGGGATGTAAAAACAATTTAATCGGTAATTTAAAGAATAATAATCGGTATAATTACTGCTTTACATTAATGTGAGGGCTGTTAAGGGTAGAAGTTAATAAAACACGATTAATGGATAATTAAATAATTCGCGTTAACTTCTATCCTCAGCTGTATCCCTTTTAGCAACAACCTCCTGAGCCCTCGCGCCATTTCCAGCAGTCACGCGGAAGGATCGCGCGCGCCATTTTGAGGTGCCACGTTGCCGCTTCTCGACAGAAAATAAACACAAGTCTAAATGTTTATATTTTGTGTTGTCAAATCACGACGACAGAAACAAAACAAACCAAGATCGCGCGTACACATTAGACAGCAACACTCCTGAGTGTCATTAATGCTAACAGCTTGAGAAGTTTATGACATGAATATTAGGGAAGAGAAAGTGAAATACTTACGCCATTTTGCCAAACTGAGCCAGTGCAATTGCCCTTTGCACTGCCGGATCTGCCGCTGCGATGTTTGCCGCTGCGCGCCGCTACACTGCCATGATTCCCGGGGGAGATTGAGAGCCACGCGCACAACTAACCAGGGTATGACGGAGAAAATATAGAGCCGGTCGCGCCTCCGCTTATATAGGCACACATCACATCCCACGCGAATATATCCCTCCGCCTTGTTCTCTGCGTGTTGATTGGCTGTTGACTGTCAATGTATGGCAAACAAATAGTACCCAAATATTTACGTTCTCGCAGAAAGTGGGTCAAACTTGCAGAGCTCACACAGACATCGATATTAAAGAAAACACAATAAATAAATACATAATTTAGAGTCACTGGGATGGTTCAGTTGTATCTTCAGAAAATGTATGCTGTTTCTAAGTAAATAATGATTTTCGGTTTACTTAGCAGCTAAAACATAATTAATAGATGAAAAATTACAAAACAGGCATGTAAAAGCTTTGATTACTGAAATATAATCAGATATTGAACAGAAAAGCAATACTGTAAAAAAAGACTCAAAATACTAGTAATTCCAGAAAAAAAACTCCTGAAAAGTGCATTTGTCATCATTATACATCTTTTTTTCTCTTTAGTTTTTCAATAAAACCATGACCCACATTAAATTTATGCCCAAAGAAAAAAATATATATATAACTTATTTAGCAGTTTTAATGACATTGTCCTGTTTGCAGGAACATTTGCAAAATTATTTAATACAGGTTATGACTAAACCTTTTACTGCAAGTCTGTTAAAGGTTGATTCTGAAGGGCCCATGCCAGTTTGGGGCTCCATCATCCCCCGTGCTCTTCCATTTCGTCCGCAATAGAAGTGGCACCCCTGGCTGAAGTAGTTCCGGCAGGTTTTGAGTGCATTATCACTCCATATCACTCCGCTGAATAATTAGAGTTATTTCACAGCTACAACAGTCAGAAATCACATCAGAACACAACAGGAGGAGGAGATGAGGAGGACACTAGTGCTGCACACAGGAGACACTTGAGGAGGACACACACCTGACTAAAACACTCTCAAATACAGCATCTGGTAGTCGTATTGTAAGTGGATTAAAAGACTCCAGTCTGCTGAATTATTCAAAAACACATGCACAAAGTCTGTGCTTGAAAAATATGAAACAAAGGCAGAATTGCAGGAAAGAAATCTGAAGCAATATTAGATTTATTATAGCACTGAATATAATGTTTACATCTTTAACTGAAAGTGGATCATCTTGTGTTTGACGGTGCAGAGAAAATATCATGTACATTAACTTTCACTTCTACAACACTACAGGAGTCCTCAGATTCATTTACACTGCTGATGTTGTCTTCTTCAATTTTGTGTCTTGTTTCGTCCAAATATCTGAACATCCTTAAATCAAGAAGCATTTCTAGACAAGCACAACATAGAGTGATGTTTTCAGAAATAAAGAGTCAAAATGAAGTGAGTTTCTCCTTAAAACAAGCAGAATAATCAGACAGCAGGGTGAGCCAAGTAATAGTGTTTTGCTTTTGATATGAGATTATTCAGCTTGATTTAGGGGGAAACTCTCCTCATTTTAACTCATTATTTCTATATTTTCAGCTCGTGTATAAAATGTTTCTTGGTTTAAGCATTTTTAGATATTTGCACAATAAACCAAAGCAAATCTCTGAGTAAGAGCAGCATTATCATCAGTGTACATGTCAAAATAATCAATAATAATAACAGTTTTAAAGGAAAGCTGCTGCTATTGACGATAATCTCAGACGTCTGCAGTGCTTCAGTCCTGATCAGTGTTGATCAGAGCCGGGAGAAATACTCCTGCTGGAAGGTCTGGAACTCCTGCTCGGTGAAGACGGATGTTTCTTTGGGTTTGGCTTCGGGCAGATCCGGCTGATCACAGGAGCGCCGGCTGGAGCTCTGCTGGACCTCCTAAACAAACACAACACGTCATTTAAAAGTCTTGAACTGCTCAGATTAGGGAAACGATCTTTAAAACACAATCATAATTAATGATCCTGGATGTGCTGTGGGCTGCTTCAGGATTGGGGTTCAGACCTTTGCTGTGTGCTGTTTCTGTGTTGTGGAGCTGGTCCTCAGGAAATACTTCAGGTTTGAGCTCAGCTGACTCTTCTTCTGTTTCTTCCTGTATTCATCTGTGAAGAGCAGAAACATCCCTCAGCTGCACTTTCAACTGATTCATTTCATTTCTTCATTTATTTACGTATAAAGCACACATCAACAGCAATGGCTGACCACTGAGCTGTACATCGATGCAAAGCTATATCAAATAGATAAAAGTAAACATAACAAAAAATACAATAATAATACGACATAAACAATGGAAATTACATTATTAGTGTGAAGGTTTTTTTTACTTGGGTTTGAGCTGATTTAAAGTGATTTTTAAGCTGGTCTGATTTTTAAGGTGGTTTTGATCAGATCTGAAGTAGTTTTGAGCTGATCTGAGGTGGTTTTGAGATGATATGAAGAGGTTTTAAGCTGTTCTAGAGTGGTTTTGAGCTGGTCTAAGGTGATTTTTAACTCATCTGAAGTGGTTTTGAGCATGTCTAAAGTGGTTTTGAGCATGTCTAAAGTAATTCTAGGATGGTCTAAAGAGGTTTTGAGCAGGTCTGAGGGGGTTTTGAGTTGGTCTAAAGTGGTTTTGAGCTGGCCTAAAGTGAGTCTGAGCAGGTCTAAAGTGGTTTTGAGCTGACCTGAGTTGGTTTTGAGCAAGTCTAAAGAGAATCTGAGCTAGTCTAAAGTGATTCTGAGCAGGTCTGAGGTGGTTTTGAGCTGACCTGAGCTGGTTTTGAACAAGTCTAAAGAGATTCTGAGCTACCCTAAATGGGGTTCTGAGCTAGTCTAAAGTGATTCTGATGTGGTTTTTAGCTGGTCTAAAGTGGTTTCAAGCTGGCCTAAAGTGAGTCTGAGCTGGTCTAAAGTGGTTTTGAGCTGGCCTAAAGCGAGTCTAAAGTGGGTTTGAGCTGAACTTAGTTGGTTTTGAGCAAGTCTAAAGAGATTCCCTAAAGGGTTTCTGAGCTAGTCTAAATTGATTCTGAGCTAGTCTGAGGTGGTTTTGAGCTGGTCTAAGGTGGTTCTGAGCTAGCCTAAAGTGAGTCTGAGCTAGTCTAAAGTGGTTTTGAGCTGACCCGAGGTGGTCTTGAGCACATCTAAAGTGATTCTGAGAAAGTCTTAAGTGGTTCTGAGCTGGTCGGAGGTGGTTTTGAGCTGGTTAATGTGGTTTTGAACTGGTCTGAAATGGTTATAAGCTGGTCTGAGGTGGTTTTTACAAGATCTATATTGGTTTTTAGCTGGCCTGCGGTGGTTTCGTGTCACTGACCCACGGCTGATCGAATGTGCTTGTCCTTGACGGTGTTGTTGTTGCTCTGCGATGATTGTCCGGCTCTCTGTAGCTGTCGGATCCGCTTCTTACTAGAACTGTTCCTCTTCTGCTTATGCTTCGCTCCATCTACACACACACACACACACACACACACACACACACACACACACTTAATTCCACCCAGTGTTGCATTAATGCACTGTAAGATAGGTTAACACTGCATCACGAGATACATAATCTTATTGCTCTAGTAACTAGTAAAGTAATGCCTATTTTTATTTCAGATGTAAATCAACATTTCCTTCAGCTAGAGCTTTATTCACGACACATTTCACTTTGGTGTAGAAGTTAATTATATTTTAACTATTGTTTGTTATAATATTATAAATAAGCAAGCTCTGCACACGTAATGCATGTAAACTACTTAATGAATACACAAGCAACAGAATAACAAAAGCACTCTTAGAGATGCTTCAAAGATCAATTCGTCTCATAACTGGTGAACTCTTATTATATTTATGTTTAATATGTATTATATTGATGTTTATAACTGTGAAGCCACAGACGAACATAGGCTTAGCGGCCGGATAGTTACCTTTCTCGCTGAATAATTCAAGTCCTCTTCGAATCACAGACGCTGACATAATCAAAATAAAGAGTCGTGTTTATTTCAATGTATAAATGTTTACTAAAGTGAGGCGTTGAGTGTTTTTCACGGCATGTGTGAGAGTTCCGCGTGTGCGCCACAACAAACAGCCGACCAGGAAACACGGTGCAGCCACACAGTTCCGCTTCAACCCGAGTCAACCCAGTCACGTGACAAAACAATATTTAAATACATATTTAAGTTGTGCTTCATTGATTTATATATAAAGCTAACAACTTTAACTACTAATACAAGAATTTAAGATTCACTCCTACATGAGATTTCAGTCATAATCAACAAATCAGACACTTCTGACTGAGCTAAACTTGCTAGCAACATAGCAAAACTTACTAATGTGTAATCAAATGCTAGCAGCTAGCAACAAATTTCTTTGACAGTCAGACACACTCATAGATATATGTATATCTATGAGACACACAGAAAACCAAATAGGCTACATGTTAACAGCCACATAGCCATGTCTTAAACCCTCTTAAAGATAAAACTGTGTATAATTAAAAGTAAATTATGATTTAAACTGTGTGTAGAGTTCATGTCCTTAACTGATTCCAAACATCTTCAGAGTTTCTGCTCAAGTAAACACTGAAGTTTGACCATTTGATTCACACTATTGCTAATTCGTTATTGTTAGCAAAGTTTTTTTGACTCATTTAAACATTCAAACTAGAGCAAACGCTCAACTCGGGAAACAGACTCATGTGATTATAACCCTCTTGTGATTTTTATTCATGTTATTCAGGGTTTTTGACGGTGTTGCAACGCCTCAATCCCCTGACCATCAGTCAGAACCTTCAACACACAAATGTCCAAACAGTGGAAACATTTCATTTCTCAATAGTTCAAACCTAAATGAGCAAGACACACCGATGCAGTCTGTTAGAGAAAAAGCTTGACACATACAGCAAATGTATGTATTCTAATATTCTTATTAGTTTTAATTGTTTGCAAATGTATTTATAGCTTAAACACCTGTGCAGGTTTAACAAGGATCAATTTAAGATTATTTTAGGACAAAGTAAAGAACATTTAAGGAACAAGTTGAAGAGTTGAGAGCTTAGCAATAGCTTGAGAATGCAACTTCCAATTTACATTTACATTTACATTTAGTCATTTAGCAGACGCTTTTATCCAAAGCGACTTACAAATGAGGACAAGGAAGCAATTTACACAACTATAAGAGCAACAATGAATAAGTGCTATAGGCAAGTTTCAGGTCTCTAAAGTCTAAGAAGGAAAGTATTAGTAGTAATTTTTTTTTTTTTTGGGTGCAGTTAGTGTGATATTCAGAGGCAATTGCAGATTAGGAAGTGGAGTGGAGACTAAATAGTTGAGTTTTTAGTCGTTTCTTGAAAATAGCGAGTGACTCTGCTGTTCTGATGCAGTTAGGGAGTTCATTAGGGAGTTCATTCCACCAGCTGGGCAGATGGATCTCCAATACCAATGGATTTCCAAAACTTTTAAACTCATTTATATTAAATAATGATAATAGGCTAACAATAATAATAGCTAAAAATCTAAATATGCTGTATTTTCTGATAACAGTAAATTTCTCACTATTTTTGTCTTGCTTTCAAGTGTAAATGTCTAAAATTTCATCAATCAAAGTATAGGAAGCAAACTGACTACATGGGCTAGTCTTCTTTGATAATGCTATATTGTATTATACTATAGTAACACATATAGTGTGCTAGATAGATTATTCATTTTCAAGCTACATGTTTGCAATTGCATCATTGTTTAATTCAGACTTTTAAAGTTACAATTTGTGAAGATTAATACATTTAATTCAAACTACAGAAACTGATAAATTAATTAATGCAACTTTTAATTTGTTTTTTTCTTATATCTTTGTTGTTTTTCAGTTGTTGTGATGTAAATAAAGGAATTAAATTATTATCATCATCAGGCTATTATTATTTCAGCACTGACCTTATAACAAAATATCTAGATATTATCATAAACATTGAATGATTTTGTCTGTTGTCTGACAAGGCAATGCCTAATTTTAGACGTGTATGCTGTTGTATAATATTCGTTAAGAAACTGTTAATAAACATTGTTCCTTCAGTTTGGGTCATCGAGCGACGAGTAATAATAATCACAGAGCGCATGCGCGTGTATTCCGCGTCGCCGCCAGAGCGCGCAGTGACATTGTTTTTTATTTATTTATTTTATTTTTATTTTTAAAACTTGAGTGTAAGACATTTAAGAATCAAGAACAGTACATAAATTAAAGTCATTACAAAATGAAATAGTTCTGTTTGCTTTCTTATTTTTAGATAATGAAATTAATTGTATATAATGACTAAATTCTTGCAAAAACACAGGAAAATATGGTTTTGTATTAGTAAATTTGCATTTGTGGATATGGAATTTACAAAGAAAATAAATTAAATTTATAACAAAACAAGCATTTCTCTTAGTAGGAGCAGATTCATAATAACCAAAAACAATTTCTTTAAAAGTAACAGAAACATCTTGTTGTATATTATCATTAATAAATAATCCAATATGTTTTCAAAATTGTACAGCATAATTACACTCCCAAAATAAATGAAAAACAGTTTCAGTATGAAATTGACAAAATGAACATTTTACATCAATATTAGAATTAAACTTTTTCAAAAATTGTTTTATAGGAAAAAATTTGTTGATCAATTTAAAAGACACCTCTTTGACCTTGTTGGTGAGAAAATATTTTTGTTGCAAAGATCATATTTTTTCCCATATCAAATCTCTAGAGATATTATTACAATAAGAGATTACAGGGGACAATGTAGCAACTTTTTCAATAAAAAGAGATCTAATTTTGTAATTTCTATCTTTTTTGTTTGAAAAACTAATTTTACCCACAAATGTTTCTGTCGGATCAGAAAGGTACACTTTTTTAGGAGTGAGATGAATAGTAATTTTAAAGAGCATAGTAATTCCTGATGTTATAGCTCCCATAACAATGGCGACATTTTTTGGACTTACTGGTATGTTATATGCGGAAATAAATTCAAAGTAATTCATTAAAAAACCTCTGTTGTTAAATAACTGACTAACTAAAAGCAAACCGTTGTTAAACCAATCACTGAAAAACAAAGATTTATTTGCGCAGTGACATTCAGATCCACAGAAGACAAACCAACCAGCGCACGCGTTCCCTTACCGTGTTTATAGCACTGATATATACAGTATATAAGGATAAAAAAATATATATATTAATTCATATTAGGAATATGTGAATATCTGACATATAATCTTTTAATATCGGATATATTATAAGATCTTTTCTAATCACCGTTTTACATGTTCAAAGTGCTGCAAGTTTCCACTGTAGTAACTTGGTAAATACTAATGTTTTAACCTGTAACAGCCTATTTAAACACTTTGTTAATGAATGTTATACTGTATTAACTATATAGTGAACTGAAAACTGTTATAAGAGTTTACTTTAGTGACGTGTAGTGTAATAAAGTAGACCTATAACTCAACTTTATTTCTAAAGCACTTTTACACAACCACAATGGGTACCAAAGTGCTGTAGCCTACATACAAACACACAAAAAAGCCTACAAAAACATGCAAACAGCCTAAACACAGCCTACAATCCACAACACATGATTAAAAGCTAAAGAAAATAAATGGGTCTCAATGACCTTTGTCATCAATGACCAAATATAGACGTGCAATTCATGCAAATATTGAGTAATCTGATTATATTGTGTTACTAGGTCTATCAGATACAATTACCACTACAGATGATTTCAAGTAGCTTCTTCACTTTAGTATGTTTCAAAACCCTTATTATTTTAAATATAGTGTTTACTATTTGGTACATCACCAAAGAAGAAAAAGAAGAAGAGAGATGGAAGTTTAAGGAAAGAGAACCAGGGGATTTTTAGTCTGTGGTTTCCACAGAAGTGAGAGAGAAAACCGCAGAGGGTTTTTAAACTCCATTCTCTCAAACCAGAACTCAGAAAACAGCAGAATGAAAAAGGAAAGAGCTTTATCAGCTTCAGCCTTTCCCCAGCCTGAGGATCCAGTGATCAGAGAATCAGAGATCAGGAGATGAAGAACAGTGGAAGGTCAGTCAATCATCCACTGCTGCTGATAGCAGGGGGTTATCAATCGATTATCCATCATGTGGGTGATTGGGTGAGGAGCTGATGAAGATAGAGGAGGATGATGGTGTTTGATTAGGTGATGGAAAAAGAGCAGAAGGATGTGACAGAAGAGGTGTGGGTGAAGGAGGATGTAGCGGCTCTGTTCTCGTAATGTGTGTGTGTGTGTGTGTGTGTGTGTGTGTGTGTGGCTTAGATATTTGTGTGAATCCAGGAAGAAACAAGATAGTCGCTCTTATCAGCAGCTTTATTAAAATGGACTACATATATTTATATATATATATATATATAGCTAATCAATATGATTGGCCCTAATGTTACATTAAAAATGCGCCAAGTGATGCTAAACATATTTGTAAAGATATTAGTTTAATGAGTTGAATTAATAACTAAATACTTAACTTAACTATACTTAACTATAACTTTAGTCTTTGCCATGATGACTTCATCATATTTTATTATTTTGCAAGACAGTTTTCAGCTTCAAGTTCAATTTAAAGGCTTCATTAGGCAAGTTTTGTTAAGTTATTGGACAACAGTGGTTTGTTGACAATTGAGAATAATAATGCTTAAGGTGGCTAATCATTTTGAACAATTATTCCAACCAAACTAGTAGGAATAAGACTTTCACCAAAAGAAAAATAGAAAAATATTATTAAATTATTAAATATCATAGGAAACACTGTGAAAATGTCCTCGCTTTGTCAAACATCACTTAACAAATATTTAAACAAGAGTCTCTCTCTCTCTCTCTCTCTCTCTCTCTCTCTCTCTCTCTCTCTCTCTCTCTATTTATATATATGGAAAATGTGTTGTGTGTGTGTGTGTGTGTGTGCCATCTTTATGTGTCTGTCTGATTATGTGTGCATGCATGCAAGTTAAAAATTGTGTGTTCATGTGTGTGTGTTTATGTAATTGCACAAGTTTGTATGTGTGTGTGTGTGTTTATGTCTGTGTGTGTATGTTTATATGTGTGTGTTTATGTCGGTGTGTGCATGTGTA